TGGATTTTTAAAGTATAGTACAATAGCACAACCAAGAAACTGACTGATACAAGATACAAACCACTCAGGTTATTCAGATTTTGCCAGTCTTACATGCACTTGTGTGCCTGGGGCAAGAAGCAGGCATAAATATTAATGACATGGATCCCTTTCTTTCTTTCTTCTTTTCTTTCTTTCTTTATTTAAAAATAAATATTTAACTTTATTTATTTATTTGATTTGATTAGAGAGAGACAGAGAGCAAGAAAGAGGGAAAGTGAGAAAGCAAACTGCCAGGTCCGGGACTTGAACTGCATTCGGCCATGTGGGAGTCCAGCACCCTTAATCACCACGCCACCAGCCAGCCCCAGCATGGATCCTTTTAAAACCAAGAAGCACCCTGGTTTCACAAAAACCCGTTTAAAATAATGACTCCCTTTTTAAGTGAGGCATTCCAAAAGCATTTTTCTCATACGTGTTTTCTGTATTATTTTTTCCCATGTATGTTTTCTGTTACCCAACTGCTCTCGAGGCCACAAAGTGTACTTCCTGCCAGCCCGCTGCGTAAGCACACTCGCGTCAGCCGTGGTCGGGGTCAGCCTTCCCCACCCACAGATTTGAGTGTGCAGGTACACACACACACACACACACACACACAGATTTTCTGCTGCTTGCCTTTTGTTATGCCTGAGTACCTTGCTGACAAGTGCTAATAACAAAATACCCTGAGAGAGTCCGGTTGAAGTTGGCATACATTAAGCATTCCGGACTTGTCCTTTGCTCGAAGATTGTGCATAATTAATAATTAAGCAGTTCCAGTTGTAATGGGTTGACCTCCCTGAACTGTTCATTACTCACCAGGCAAAGGCATCACTCACACGTTTCCCGGCGTCCTTCGCCCGTTCTCTGTGCCGCGCGCTCGCCAGGCCCCGGTGGTTCCGCGAGAGCGGCTGACCAGGTAGTCAGCGGAGCCTGGGAGACTTGGCGACTGCCCTCCTTCACGCCCAGAATGCTTACCGGCGTGGTTATGGCTGCTGTTTTTATAGAACAGTCGCCTGCTCCATAACAAGGCCCAGCTCGTGTCCCTTTAGTGGGACTCTCAAGTCGATCTGGGACCAGGATCTCGGGTGAAGGCTGTGTCCACTGTTTGATTCCGCTCCTCCGCACTTAGAGCTTCAACAGAAAAACATCCAAGAAAGAGCCCTTGAGGTGAAGTGTGGCACCCGGGTCTTAAAGAGAGTCACTTTTATTAACAGTTGAGAGTCGGTTTCAGCCAGGACTGAGAGTTACTGGTGTAACCTCTGCTTCAATTTGTGTTTACATTTTTGAAGTGTATTTCTCCATCTCGCCTGAACCATATTTTACAGAGGACATTTTTGTTAAGTGGAGGCAACTACTAGATCCTCTGAACCCCGTGGGACGATTCTCAGCCCTCCTCTGATCTCACGGTGACTGGGTGCTTTCAGGTTCACATCTGCTGTGCACCCACCTCCCTCCTTCCTACACACGCTGGAGTTAGGTAAGATAGGCAGGCTCTTGGAATTCCTTCACCCCCTAATCTGGGCTAGCGAATTTTATTTGCCTTAAAAAGAGAAATGTATAGGACCGGCCCTGTAGCCTGATGGCTAAGGGAGCCAGATCCCATGTGGCTGACCCCTGTTTGAATCCCACCCCAGGCTTGGAAAACATTCCAGGCACATGTGTGTGCGTGCCCCAGTGGAGAAATGGAGGAGAAGGATTGTAGCGTGACCACACGTGACTGAGGTGCTGTCTCCCCTTCTCTCTCTCTCTTTCTCTCTCTCTCTCTCTCTCTCTGATGAGTACACACACCCTCTGATGATTAAAGGCAAGAGGGACAGAGGAACTTGAGAATGCGCCCGAGCAGTGAGTGTTTTCGGGCATGTTCACCTGCTGCCTTGGAGCAGAAGCAGCCCGAATACTCCCATGGAGCTGAAGGCCCTGAGACTCCTTTGCTCGGTGTTGGAGTAAGGCTTTCTGACCAGCCCCTTGTCAGTGTTCTGCATCTCAGACAAGTCTCCCATAAGGTGTGCAAGCAACATGGGTTTTAAAAGGAGAAGAACTATCTGGCAGTGTGCATGTGAGATTAGAATATCCCCCTGCATCTCCGATGAGTGATTCTTCCCAGGCACCACTGAAATGAGAATACACGCTCCAGTTCTGCAAAGTCGACTTGGGCTGGCATTTTCAGAAGAGAAATAAATTATTCATGGGTACCACCCAGTGTTCCTTAGTTTTATAATCTGAGGAACTTAACAGGCTACAATATCAGGTCTTAAATAAAATTAACTACCCATGCAGGATGTCACTTTTCTCATTTTGTTTCTCATCCGTGTTAAAATGACATCTTCATCAAGTTGCCTAGTTTATAATTCATTAATTTGCTCTTGGTATCATACTTTGAAATGAGGCCCGCATTAGCATTGTGTTTTATACCAGATCTTTGTAGTGAGCCAGTCCAGAATTTTAACCATCTTGGTAAATATTCAGCCACATTAAGACAGCAGGCTTTTATTTTCCACAATATTGTGTTTTAAAGCAACTGCTATTCAGATACATCCAGTAGAATACCTTATCAAAAAAAAAAAAAAAAAAAGCAGGTGACGTGGAGGTTAAGGCACTCTACTGCACATAGCCAACTGCACAGTTCAAGTCCTGGACCCGGTGACTTGAAAATGATGCCAGTCGCATGTGCATGCATGCTCAAAATCCTGAGAGGAGACTAGAGGAGAAGGGGTTGCAGCATGGCCATCCTCCTTGGGAACTGATTTCTCACTTTCCCTCTCTCTCTCTGTCTCTGTCTCTCTCTCTCTGGTGAGTGCGTGTGTCCTATAGCAAAAACTAAAAAAGAAAGAAAGAAAGAAAGAAAGAAAGAAAGAAAGAAAGAAAGAAAGACATAAAGGAATGACTTAGGAAAGCTTCCCGACTGATCAGAGTTCGTAATCGTGCCTCAGACTTTGAGCCATCGTTTTACTAGTGGGTTTGGAGGCTGTGAAATGTCATTTCTTGAACTCGTCCTTGTAGAATCTAGCAAGCTTGGTGATATATATGGCTTTCCTAAAACAGGCTGGGGCCAAATTGATATCACGTTTTATTTTTGCTCTTCAAACTGATGGGACTTCTGTGACCATTTTATAGCGCCTGTCTCGAGGACTTGTCTGTTATTGCGTGCCTTGTTTCTTTTGAGTGGACGGTTTTGTCAGCGTCCCCCCACCCCATTTACCGTGGCCTCTCTCTGTAATGCCTGCCCGTAATCCTTTGAACTGGGCAAGATTTTATTTCGCTCCCACTTCCCTTTGTTTTCCTTTGCCCTTGGAAGCCTTTCTCTGCCGATGAGAATGTTTAAGTTTCGAATTGGTAACCCTCCTTTCTTCTGGATGAGTAGAATAAATTCAAAGAGGTCAGATATGCCAAAGCCAAGAAACATGTGTTCAGACCCCTTTTCTTCGAACCTCTTGCAAGTTTTTGGGGGGAAGGGGTTGCTGCTTTGACCTCCTCGGTTCCTTTGGATCGAAGTGTCTTTTCCAGCAGTTTCCAATTGTTTGCATTGGAAACAAAGCCTTAATAAGAGTTCTAGTTAATTTTCTGTCTTGTAATTACCGATCTCATTTTTCTGATAATTGGCCACAGCAATTACATGTATATTTACTAACCACATAGGAGGCTGTGCAGTCGTATCTGTCTGCCACCATTGATAATGACACGCGTATCACAGAGGTGCTTTTATCATCTTCTTTTTTCCACTACATCAAAGCTGTTTCGTCTCGTTCTCAATAATGAATACATGCATGCATTTGACACAGTTGTGTGCTAGAGAAATTGTTTGGCTCCCACCAAATGCTGCATGCTCTGAGTTTCTTGCCTGCAGCGCTGGAAGGTTGTATGTAATGATATATTGCTCGTCCAAATGGCCAAAGCACTCCAAAGCACAGTGAGATTAAAATAAGTCATTCCTTTGTTAATTTAAATAGGTGCATGTATCATACTTTGCGGGGCACTTTGTGTGGGGATGTCAGGGAGGGAGAAAGCCGCCGAAAGGTATTTTTAATAGCAAATGAGAATAGATGAGAACGGAGCATTCGCAGCTGCCTGCTCTGTGTGGCTCTGCTGTTCCAACTGTAGGTCTAATGAGATGACTGTTGAAGTACTCTGCAGTGTAATTTCATTACATCCTGAGCTGCTACGCTCTCAACAGTGGCGCGCTCCGTCATTCCGGGAAAAACTCCTAAATTCGTAAAGCCTTCCTTGGCCAACGGTGATGGGGTTTTCTCCCAGCGTTACATGCGGCGGTGGGCGTCACCGCGTGCTTTTCTGCTCTCCTGGGTGACTTTCTCCTCCGCCCTACTTGCGTCTGGTCATCGAGGTGAGAGTGTTTCATTGTGTCCTTAATTTACGGGCCTTCCTGTTAGATGAGTTTGCCCAGATTGGCAGACAGGCTAAAATCCCATATCCGGAAACAACTTCCCCTATATAAAAGAGCCCTCCTAATAAAGTAAACTAAAAAAAAAATTTTTTTTTAATTTGACCAGAATGATTCCATTTGGGACAGGGAGTTACAAGCAGCTAAACAGAGGAATACATGTAAATAAAAAGGAAAGTGTAAATAAATAGCAAGCCCAGTAAAGGAGACAAAAGGTCAACACAAGAATAATTTCACAGCTCTTTGTTAATTACAAGACCATTTGTGTGTTACTTAAATAATCATTAATTTCTCATTTACACTTCCCTACCTTCTTCCCTACCCTGTGGCTATGATTGTCCTTTGTCACCTCCCCTCCCTCTCTGCTCTCCTGCTTCTCACCATCCGAAATGTGTGTGGCTTTAAATTTGGCATTTTTTGCCTAAACGTGTGGAAGAGGGTATAGACAGCCTCGTAATTGGACGAGGCCTTCTTTTTACCGAATTCATCTTTCCCCTGCTCCTGCGTGGGGGCGGGCAGGGTGGGGTATAAAGCAGAAGGAATTGCCGTGACTTTTGGTGACTTGTTTTTTCCTCCATCCCAGGATTCGCCCGTCCTTCCGGTTGGAGAGTTCTCCGAGCCGTTTGTACATTTCATCACTCAGTGGTGAGCCCGTCTGCAAACACGCCGTGCCCTCCATGTAAATGATACATGCCATTAACCCGCTGCTCCGCGAGGCCTTATGGCTTTCCTGGTTCCTTTTGGAGACAGGAGGGACTTGGGGCCTTGGGCAGATGGGGCAGCGAAGCTGGAGAAATTGTTTAAATTATGTAAACGTTATTTACACGAAGGGTCGTAAACGCACTTCCCGGGCTTTTCCCTGTTTTAATAAACTGCTGAGAGTCAGGCTACTTCTTCGAGCACAGATACTGTTGCCAGGCTTTCTTTATTTTTTAAGAAATACACAATTTTATCGCCCCTATTGAACAGACATATGAAGCTTATTTTTATTAATGTAACCTCAAGTTCCCCATAAAACTGTCTGTCACTTAGTGGAAGCAGCATAGTTTATTAATTCATTGGATTTTCAGTAAATAACTTTTATCTTTGGTTATATTTTAAGCACAATGCGAGGGTCCCATTTCAGTGGATTTTGATATTCGAAAGACTAGGAAAGCGTAGTTCCATTAGACCTACTTTAACCCTTAAAGAACTGAGAGCAGGGACCAGTTAGTGTAATGGCTATGTCGCTGGACTCCCATGTAGCTGACCGTGGTTCAAGTCCCAGACCCAGTGGCTTAAACTCATGCCGGGCGCTTGTGCATGTGTGCCCAAGATCCCGAGGGAAGAATGGAGGAGAAGGGAGGAGGGTGGTCATCTCCCCTGGGGGGTGATTTCTTGCTTTCTGTCTCTCCGTCTCTCTCTGTCTTTCTGGAGAGCACACACGCCCTATAGCAAAAACCTCTAAAAATAAATAAATAAGAAAGAAAGGAAGAGAGAAAGAAAGAATAAAAGAAAGAAAGAACCGAGAGGAAACATGGGGTGTCAGTCCTAACTAAGGGCCCTCAGTATCTCCAGGCACCACCACCCCTGACCCCCGGTCATATTACATCTGAGGAGACCGACATTTTTCTGCCAAGACTTCTTTTCCAACTTTCTGCCTTCCTCCTCCGGCAGAACACGTCTTTCTCTGTGGGCCCCTTTCACTATCGCCCTCTTATGCCCTCTCCTGCAGGACTCATGTGACCTTGGGAAGCCCCTCTCTCTACACTTCTTCCTCACCCCAGGAGGACGTGCCCGGGAGGAGGAGGGCCCTGGGAGCATAGGAGTGACTGTCCCAGAGTCCGAAACGGGACGAGCGGGTACTCCAGAGCTCCTCACAGCCACCTCTGCCCTCACTTCACTCCAGTCCCCAGTCCATCCCCTCTCCCGAGTCACATCCACGGCGGGCAACAAACAGGCAGGCCGGGCCGGATGCACCCCTGTCCTGTGGCGTGGCACGGCTGAGCAGCCGGGAGTCCTTGCAAAACCAGATGGTTCACTGTCCCTGCCCCTCCCCCCATGATCCATCTGATGATTTTGCTAAAGCGAGACCAAGAAATATTCTTTAATATAAATGTCAAGCTTTATCACCTTTTTGACTAAGTGTAATATGTTACCTCTTAATAAAAACGTCTCATATCGTTTATATTCCATAGAAAACACATGTGGGGAAGAAATTGCTCCCCCATTTTTAAAAATTTTATTAACACTGTTTCTGTTTACTTAAAATACTTCTATAATATTCTGTAGCTTTTCAAAACTATTTTCACTCTACAAACATTTTCTTTGCAAAGTGTGCCATGTCAGGGGAAACCCGATCAAACAGTGGAACCCTCAGCCGTTTCGAAGCTCATTGATTATTTTAGAGCCATTATCCAGAAAGGTATAGCAACCTCTTCATTCTCTACCTGGGACCCTAAAAACTCTAAGGAGCACTCGGTGGGATTGCCCCGTTTTGAAATGCAGAAGTTGGAAAATCGAGCGAGCGAGTCCTGAGCTGCCAGGAGCCCCTGGGTTGGGCATCACCGCTCGCTTGGAGAATCTGGAATCATGACAGGGTCCCATTCTCCTCGCTTTGCAGATGGAGACCGACCTAGGGGTGGGGTCAGCCTGGGCAGCCGCGAACAGCAGATAAGGCTGTACCTTCCTCCTGTGCAAAACATTATTCAGCTGTTACATAAAAGTTTTCTGCAGACAGAGGGCTGGATAACCTGTGTTGAAATGTCCACAGATGTCAAGCCGAAACAGAAATGATAGTGGGGAATACTCCTCGCTTTGCAGATGGAGACCGACCTAGGGGTGGGGTCAGCCTGGGCAGCCGCGAACAGCAGATAAGGCTGTACCTTCCTCCTGTGCAAAACATTATTCAGCTGTTACATAAAAGTTTTCTGCAGACAGAGGGCTGGATAACCTGTGTTGAAATGTCCACAGATGTCAAGCCGAAACAGAAATGATAGTGGGGAATAGCCTGGTTTTCCCTAGAGACGCAGCTACTTTGGAATGTCAGATTAGGAATGTGCCCAACTCCACTGGTGAGACAGCTTGCAGTACTCACTAATGGATGCAGTACGGAGAGGTGCATATGGTTATTTATAGGGCCGGCAACTGTCCTCGACGTCATTAATGCTTCATAACTGCGGTTCTTATTTACCAAATGATCATTAACTCTCTCTACTTAAAAAAAAAAAAAAGATTACATGAAGCGTTTTCTTTTTTTCTTGTTAATGAGTGCCTTATATAAAGAAAAAGCATCTGTGATTTTTCCAAGCGATAGAAGCAGCAGTCTCTTTTCAGAGCTTCACCCACAGACACTCAGAGTTCAGAGCAAATACAGCCATCGAGGCGGCAGCTACCTGCGGTCCCCGCGGTCCCCTGTGTGGGTGCTTTATTGCATAGCTGGGTACATGCTACAGCTGCTAATTATACTTATTGAGTGGAAGACAAGAGATATTTTACATGAGGAATGTGATTTTTTTAAGCAGCTTAAACCAATTTAACTGTCCCACAGCTGTTTAATGAATTACCGACTTGGATTGTAGCCAGAATCCTTGCACGTCAAGGCCGTGTGTAATAAGCCGTTGGTGACTATAGCATTACCCGGGTACTTGACCCAGGCTGTTTACCGCACACCAGTCCTCCTGGTACCAGCGAAGGGTGAGCAGCTCTCAGCCGACTGCACAGTCAGACTTCCTCTTAGAATTTTATCCCATTTATCAAAAAAGAACCATGCTGAAATAAATTATCGAGACAAGGCAGTATTTAGAGAATATTGCTGGGTTTTTTTCACATTAGTTTCAAAAATAGAATTAGAATAAATTTAAATTTACTAATTAGCCGTATTATGAAGATAACTTAAAAAAAAAATATGCGTGTTTCGGAATCCTAGGTCTTCAGAAATCTGATTATCGGCCAAAATGAAGCAGAGGATGATATTACTGTGGCCAAAAACTGAACATGATGAATCCTGAAAACATTCAAATTTCAGGGTGGAAATTAGAGAAATTAGAGCCCAAATGTACAAGTAATATAGATAATGAAAATTGTTTTTTTCTACTACAGCATGCGAAAACAGCCCAAAGAAAGGCCAGCACCTGAGGAACTGATGGTAAGTAAATGTGTCTAGTGATGTCAGAGTCCCCAGGTACATATTCGTGTTCAACGTTCTCTTAGAAGGTCAGAAGGGAAATTAAACACCCACAGGCCCTGAGAAGGTGGCATTATTCACTTCATTCCGGTAGGTGTTTTTGAAGCTCATACCCTCAGATAATAGTTTTCACTTTTTAAAAACCCAGCACCATTTTGGATCGTAACACAGAACCCTTTCCTTTTGCTGCATGCGAGGGTCACAAACTTAATCAGTTGCTGGCCTTGCAGCCTTTCGGAAGTCAGAGCTGGTGACAGAGAAGACACCCTGCATATTAAGGCCCCAGTGCTGTCCTGCAGGACAGTCCGAACGCGGCGTGGAGTCGTCCTCCGGATTCGAGTAGAATGAAATTAGACTGGCTGCAAAAGATCAAGTTAATGTGAATCTTTGGTCTTTGCTCAGAAAGAGACAACCGCAAGGCTGCCAGTGCCGTGCTCTCGGCTCCAAGGCAGCTTCCTTTGATTGCAAATGACAGTTTTTAGTCAAGCAGGGAGAGGAACAGAGACGCTCCCTAACAATTCCCAAATGGTCATTTATTTAGTGCAGATTGTTGACTTGACAATGCACAAGCTGTTAGAATAACGTTAAGATCGAGCATTAGTAAATAATAATTATAGCCTGCTCTTTCTCATGTCTCGTCTTGCGCACCGTTCCCTCTCTTTAGATTTCCACGGCTGGAGCAAATTCTGACCCATTTTCTCTCACTCTTTAAACCGTATGTGTTGTAACAGATTCTGGTTCAAAGATTTTCATCCTTTGTATTCCATTTTAATAAGATCTCCAAAGCACCCAAACTTGAGTGAAATACAGGTATCAGCCCCCAGTCTAGAAGGACAGTGTGTTTCCCTTACGCATCATGAATGCTTTCCAGGAAGGTCCTTTCCATGTCACCCTTGGAGCAAAATCTCATTTTCAGGGTGATTCCAAGTTAAAGTTCACCCCTAAAACCTCTATCATTTGTAACTGTGCGGGTCTCATGTCTTGAACAAACTGGTCTCTTTTTTTTGCCTCTTCGATGGTTGGGAAATTCTTGCAGTTAGTCACATTTGAGAAAACGTGGAGCAGGTTCTGAAGAGGGAGGCCCATTTACCTTGTGCCTTATCTTGCTACGGCTGGATGGCTCGGCTATTAAAACAAAGGAGCCGGGTTTCATAAAACAGGTATCTTTCTGTAAGTGCGTGTTGCAGTGCCGCAGCGAGCGAGCCACTTATAGATAAATATCTCAGGTCATGTGTCCACCGTAAGCATGTGTGGATACATGTTTGGTAAGGAACACCACTGCACGGTGGCAGGTTGTAGCGACAGGGCTAAAGGGAGAGTCTGTTCTGTTCTGTTTTTTTTTTTTAGGGAGAGATTTTTGCTGTCGGGCACATACACTCACCGGAGAGATGGAGAGACAGAGAGACAGAAAGTGAGAAATCGCCCCTCCCCCAGGAGGAATGGCCATGCCACAGTCCCCTCTCCTCCATTCACACACACATGCCCAGCATGAGTTTTAAGCCGCTGGGTCCAGGACCCGAACCACGGTCTACTACATGGGAGTCCAGCGACATATCCATTATGTCATCTGTTGGTCTCAAGGGAGAGTCTTTTCATTGCCTGGGAAGTACGGGTGTGTGGACACATATTTAGATACATCTCTTTAAAGCTAAATGCCCCGATGTGTGTGTCCCACGTATGTAGTCACAGAAGGCACCATCCTCTACTTATTTTAACATTATTGCTAGTAGTGCTGTTTGATTTTTTTTAAAGAATTATTTTATTTTATCATATTTACTACTTTTTTAAATTTGACAAGAGAGAGGTGGCAAGCCACCGACGTCTGAGGCTTAAACTCTGGTCGGCCCTGTGAGAGTCCAGAGCCTTCACCACACCGCCTGCCAGCCCCAGTACTGTTTGTTTGTTAAAGGGATTCATCCCCAGAGGTCGCACCACAGTAGGCGGCCTGGTTTGTAGGGCCCAGTGAGGAAGCAGGACACGGGAAATCGCGTGTGAGGCTGCTGTGTCCAAGGGCCCGAGCCCTGCCTGCCTAAATTTAGCCAAAGGCTGGGCCCAGTCAGGGATGGGAAGAAGACCCGTTGTCCCTTTGTTTGAGGGTCCTGGGTCACATCCTCAGGACCCAGTCTTAAAGAGCCAGTCTCTTTTTTCCTTCCAGCTTATTAATTGCTTTAATCTTTCTTTTCGCTCTGTCCACCACCTGTTTAATGGTGGGAGCACCTGGAAGCCGAGAGCCTTCTCTGGAACGCATGAACTGTCGAGCCTGTTTGTCACTTGGGAGGGGGGTTGTGCCGTTTGCGAGGAGAGCAGTTTATATCCCAAGCACAGTAACCCCAGCCAGCAGGGCGCCACCATGGGCTGCACAACTGGGGCCATGTCAGCCGTGAGGCCTGCAGGCCTGTCCAGGTGCTCTATAGGCCTGCATTTTCCAAACCAAAGAAGGAATCAGAGGTGGGGTCAGGGGACATCCCGACACTCAGAGGTTGCCATGTGGGAACTCTTACCTTAATTCCAGGTGTGGCCTTGACCCGTGAACACAGCAGGTCCCAGCCGAGGTAGATGGGATGAGGGGTGTGTGGGCTGGACCTCCCTGACTCCTGGGCCTGGCGCACACATACAAGCACCCATGCAATCCTTGTTTCTGTTTGTTTGTTTAAGAATTATGTTACTGAACTTCATTCATTTTAAGTTCACCAGAGAGGGACAGAGAAAGAGAGAGAGAAGGCAAGCCGCCAGGTCCAGGGCTTGAACTGCAGTTGGCCATGTGGGAGTCCAACACTCTTAACCACCACACCACCTGCCGACCCGAATCCCTGGCTTTTTATTAAGTGGGGTCACCCTATATACCAGAATACCTAATTTCAAGTCTTAAGATCATTATCTTGGCAACTTATGGCCATGTCAGCTTTGAAAATGAAATGTAAACCTGAATGTTAAACTCTCCTCTCTTTTTTTATTTTGTTTTTTTGGAGAGGTTTTTGCTATAGGACACATGCACTCGCCAGAAAGACCAGAGAGACAGAAAAAAGCGAGAAATCGTAAGGGGGGATGGCCATGCTACAGTCCCTTCTCCATTCTCCTCTCGGGATCTTGGGCACACACGCACACATGCCCAGCGTGAGTTTAAGCCACCGGGTCTGGGACTCGAATGGCAGTCAACTACATGGGGATCCAGCGACATAGCCATTATGGTTACTGCTGGTCCTCTGAAGGTTTAACTCTTGAGACTACCAAAATTCTAGCATTAGGACTTGTTTAGTGAGTTAGCCGTTTAATTCCCTTGCTTTATGTGGCTGTTCTTAAGGTAGCTGTCAGGTTTTGTGTATGTGTGGGGTGTTTTGTTTTAGGTTTTCTTGCTGTAGGGAGTATGCACTCTTTAGAGAGACAAAGAGAGGGAACATGAGAAATCACTCCCCACACCACAATCCCTTTCCTGACTTCTCCCCTTGGGATTTTGGGCACACATGCACTGCGCCCGGTGTGTTCTTCAAGACACTGGGTCCAGGACTGGAACCACACAGTCAGCGCATAACCTCCACCGCACCTGCTGGCCCTAGTCATCAGTTTTTATGTCCTATGTGGACATGCGTTAATGCTAGGCCCACAAACTCCCTTAACGATCACATTTTGGGGAGGCTGAGGTCCGTGAGAGCTGGTGCAGCTCTCTGGCACTAGCCCGTAAGCGACATGAACTCCCGCCAGGTTTCATTGTTGGCATCCATGGCATCTTTGGACAGTTCAGAACCAGGTAAAGAATTGAATCCGGGCAGTACTTATAGTCCGCTACGTGCTAGCCTCCGCAGAAGTTAGGAAGAGCGAGCCCTGTGTTCGTGGTCTTGCAGGGGCAGCGGCAAGTATGCAGATGGCCAGGATGAAGCGCCAGCATCCTGGAACTGTTGTCAAAGAACTGCAGAGTTCTGGGCGATCCGTTTGGGAGATGGAGGAGGAGGTAGCACTTGACCTTTCAAGTGGCCTCTGGAAGATGGATGGAATGCTCGTAGGGAGTTTCCAAGGGGCCATCCCAGGCAGAGGAGACAAGACTGGCGTGAGGCTGTGCAGTCAGAGCACTGTGAAGCCTCCAGTGCCTGTTGAAACAGAGGCCTCTCTGGTGGAGTTGACCTGGTGGAATTCCAGACCTACAGAGTTCGAGTTCCAGTCAGTGACGTGCACACCACCAGGAGAGGAGAAGGGATTGCGGCATGGCTATATCCTTTGGGGGTGATTTCTCACTTTCTGTCTCTCTGTCTCTGTCTCTCCAGCAAGCGCATGCACCCTATAGCAAAAATCTCTCAGAAAAAAAAGGGAAATTCTGCTTCTATACGAGAAATGCTAGTGCCCAGGTCTGAACACGCTGACTCTATGTGGAAGCAGCGTACCCTCCTGCAGGGACCCTTTTCTCTTGAGTGAAGCCTTCCGAGTGGTCTCCAATTAAGTACAGGCAAGTCCTTCACTCTTGGGGATGGTGTGGTCTTTCTTCAGTCCTTGAGGAGCCCATTGCATAACTCGGGCATCAGCTGTGATCGTGCCATGGTAACGACTCTGTTAGCAAAGAACCCACGTTTATTTTGCTATAGGGCACATATTCTTGCCAGAGAGAGACAGAGACCTAGAGAGAATGGGAGAAATCACCACCCGGGGGATGGCCACACCGCAATCCCTTCTCCTTTTAGGATTTTGGACATGCATACACACACACACACACACGCACACACACACATCAGACTTGATTTCCAAGCCACCAGGTCCCAGACTCAAACTGCTATTGGCTATGTGGGAATCCAGCTACCCTAACCACCACGCCACCTGCTGGTTCCTGAAAACCCAATTTTAAATCATGCTGATGTAAGTCACAGGAAAGACCTTTGTCAGTCTGTCCCAACTCTGTGAACTGGGACCAATAAACTTAGAAAACGTGTCTGTGCTAGAGATGCTGAGGAGGTGGTAGGCAATTCGTCCAGCTGACT